ATTTCAGCTATCGTAGTAGGGAAATCCGCGGGGGATTTAAATATCCCCCGCGGCATTTAAATAAAAATGTCCGCCGCTTTTTTCCGGCTTTTAGAAAAGCCGGAAAAGAGCGTCTACACTGGCCCCGATCCTCCGGAAAAAGCGCCCTTTTCCGGAGGCTCTTATTCCTACTTTGAAGCCGGAAAAAAGCGGCAGACATTTTTATTTAAATGCCTAGGATTTTACCCTAAACTGTATGTTGAAAGTGGCAATAGAAGTAAAGCTGAATATGGGAAAGTTAATGGAAATTATGCTTCTTTTAAAAACCAGTTTGAAACACATCCCAGTTTAAAAATGTTAGCTACAGATCTACATAACAATCACTAGAACAGGGTTGGGGCAAAAGTAACCTGGGCTGTAGCCCAGACACTCAAGAAGCCAAAGTCAGCAGCCAGTTTTGAAAATTTTTCTTTTAATTTTCCTGAGCCTCAGTTCCCCATCTCTAAATATGCCACATTAAGCACTTGTATTGTGAAAATAATACATTAATATTTGTATGGCACTCAGATATCCTAGTGATGAACACCAGAAAAGACTATAGTTGTAGTCAGAAATACGGATGTACGCGACTAGTTAACTATCTGATAAGCTTATCGGATAGTCGACTAGTTGCTTCTCTCCACCCTATGCTGCCTCTATCAGAGGCAGCAAGGTGGGGAGCAGGAGCTGGTGCTGGAGGGAGCTGGCTAAAAAGCTGGTTCCCCCTGGCACCATCTTCGTGGGGGGCAGAGGGGTAGCAGGGAGCAAGCGTGAGCCAGGAATCAGTTGATTCCTGGCTCATGCCCAGTCTCAGACCCTGAGCCTTTGCTTTGAAAATGTATTAAGAGTCAGCAGACTCTTAATACATTTTAAAGGCAGAGCTGCAGTGGGGTTAGCTCCTGGGGCCAAGAGTTAACCCTGCTGCAGCTCCCCTGCTTATCGACTAATCAACTAGTTAATTAATTGATTAAATTTAACATCCCTAGTCAGGAATACAGTAACTGTTTTCTAGTGCACTATGTAGGAAATAATTTTGTTTAAAAGAGTCACTTATACTATATGTCAAGCATCTGGTAGACTACTTTGATTAGCTCTTGGTCTTTATTAAAGGAAAGAGAGGGTCACAAGAAGTTCATTTAAAAAAAATCGGGAGGACCTTGAATAAAAGTATCAAAGTTGAGGAATATAGAGCATAGATATTTTTAAGAAACTGTTGCAATTTCAAAGAAGGATGATTTAATTAAGAATATAATTTATATTTTTTACATTACAATTCAAAACCAGGTCCATATAGATCATATGAATCTAAAATCCTAGTCTACATTGAAAAAAGGCTTCTGGAAGATTCCCCATTTAAATAAAATATTTTACTCTTAAAATAAATTGAATTGGAAGACCTACAACCTACCTATCAAAATGTGGCTATAAACTTACAACTTCATAAGGATTATCTCTGACAGTGAAGTTTACACAGTTTCACATAGAGATGTGAACAACTAGTCGACTATCCAATAAGCAAATGCTTATCGGAAAGCCGACATGCTAGTCAACTAGTCGTTTCCCCCCACCTTGCTGCCTCTCTCAGAAGGAGGGGGGTGCTTCAAAACGGCAGCACTGCATAGAACACGAGGGTCAGCTGGGGACTCCTCCACTGACCCAGGACTCGATGTGGCACTGTCACTTGGAAATGCCACATGAAGCCTGACACCAGGCTCCCTGCGGCTTTTCGAAGTGGCAGCACTGTGTGGAGCCCAGGGTTAGCTGGGGGCTCCATGCGGCACTGCCTCTTTGAAACAACACAGGATGCACAGGGCCAGCTGGCCCCATGGTCTCCTCAGTGCTTTCTGCCTTCAAAGGTGGAAGCACCCTTATTGACTAATCAAATAGTCAGTGCAAATTGCATCGACTATTCAATTAGCCTAGCATTACCATATTTGAACTTTCAAAAAAGAGGACACTCCTGAGAGGGATACTGATACAGATACACTCCCTCTCAGGAATGTCCTTTTTTTTGAAAGTTCAAATATGGTAACCCTAGATTAGCCAATCAATCAAAATTTTACATCTCTAGTTTCATATCAGGATAGTTGAGGGTGCCTTTTCATGCCTATTAATGAAGCATCATTAGAAACATCAAAGAAATGCCCTAAGAATTAGTAATGCCAGTGAGTAGCTTTCCTGCAAACAGATTATTCATTTAGTGATTTAAAGCAGCTGCTCACTGTAATAATAGCACATAAAAGGCAACTGCTGACCTCACCCTAGCAATAATCTAGTGTATAATAACACAGCAAAGGTGACAAAAAGTAACTTGTTGTCTTTTGGTTGTCTTTGGTTGTCTCTTGGTCTTTGCTAGACAACTGGCATTTCAGTAACTCTTATACTTCGGGGGTTTGTGCTGTGCTTGTTTTCGCTTCTCTTCTTTCTTTTTCCTGATCCAAAAAGAAACCAATCCCAGACAATATTCATTTTAAGTAAAGCAGTGGACTCATTCCACCTGATATGCTGGGTATGAGTTTGAGTAGAACTTTTATTTATATTGTAGCAGCACTCACACTTTGTGGTGTGCTATACAAACATGTAGGAAGACAGTCCGTGTTCTAAATATTTTACAATCTAAAAAGAATAGGAACATATGAATGTCACATGAAATGGATACCACCTACAAGGATGCATGGTGTATAATGGAGGCTAAGCCTCCTCAAATCTCCGCTATGCTCTCCTCCACAGCCCTTGGGTTGCAACTAGGCCCCATGGCTCCTCCAGGCAACGGGCTCAGGTGTAGGGTTGCCAGATGGTCTTCCAAAAAATACCGAACACTCGGTATTTTTTGGTTGAGCAAAAAAAAAAGGAACGTGGGGGGATAATAAGCCCTCCCGTTCTGGGGTGCCCAGAGCAGCGATCGCAACTCCGCCTCCCTGCTGGGACTCCCAGGGTGGGAGGCGGGGCCGCCATTGGCACTGGATTGCGCAGAAGTCCCAGCCACTTCCCCCACCCCCACCAGACTTCTGTGTAGTCACAGGCTCTTAGCCCCGATTGTGGCCCTGCCTTCCAGCCACTCCCCTCGCCCACGCCAGGCTTCCGTCCAGTGCACAGCCGGAAAAATCAGAATACTGGACATTGCACTTGTCCGGTATTCTCTGATTTTTTTTACCAGACAAAGAGTGCAAATACTGGACTGTCCAGTAGAATACAGGACACCTGCCAACCCTACTCAGGTGGGGTATCTCTGCTGGGGTTCCTTTGGCAGCAGTATGGAGCTTGGGTCTTCTCTGACCCTGGCTAGAAAGAGGGGGGCAAGGAGTGGGCTTTGTGTAGAAAGGGGTAGTGTAGGAGAGCAGGCATCCCTGAATAGGAGGTTTATGTGCTGCCTATGTCTACAAGTTTGTGTGGTGTTTAATAAGCCATATAGTCATTTGCCATAAACTCTTCTATTTTGTCCTCTGTTGATGAAAATCTCATAAGCATCACAATTGAAGTGGACTGTAATGAGAGATTAAATGAGATATTATTTTATGGACTATCTTAGGAATGGTGTTACATATCTAGGGGATATAGAGGAAGCGTTAAGACAATTTAACATAAGCACATTATCAGAGTATTAAGGCTGTCATTATGTGTAATAAATCTGGGGTTAGTTTGTTTAAGGAGTTTTGTAGCTTTGTTTGATATTTAATTAAAAAAAGAAATGTCTTCTGACTGCAACTCTTTAAATGTATATCCTATTTCTTAGCAACCTTTCATTTCGTACAACAATATATGTCAACATTTCCTGAAGCAGATATACGCCAAGCATTTATTTCTTACAATACCAAAAAAAAAAAAAAAAGGTAAAAGTCCTGATCCAGCAAACACACATGTATTTAGCTTTACTATATGAAGGGATTATGGCCTCATAAAAGTCAATCGTATACATAAGGGTTTGCAGGAGTGGGAACAAAGTTTTATATTTCTGATTATAATACAGGTTGGACTTCCATGGTCCGGCATTGTGGGGACTGGATTGGACCCAAACAAGAGAATTTGTCGGACCAAGGGAGGTCTCCTGCCATCGGCCCCCAAGTCTATCACCTGTTTCTGGCAGGCTGCCCCAGCAGGCAACCCTGCTTCGCCCTCCCCCCCAAACCTAACTGAGCTGCTTGCTCAGCCATTGCTGGCTCCCTGGGCAGCACAAACTCTTGCTCCTGCTGTGGGGCTCCATTCCTGTGTAAGCTGTGAGCAGCTGCAAGGCTGGGGCTCTGACCCCGGCCCTGTGCAGCCCTGGCCCTGTGGAGCCGGGGGAAACTGCGGGGCTCCAGCCCTGTCCCTACGCTCCTGGGGGTTGCCACAGAGACTCTGGCCCCACACTGGCACAGGGCTCTGGTCTCAGTCCCACATTCCTAGGGGCTGCTGGAGGATGCTGTGGGGCTCTGGCCCTGGTCCCATGCTGCCCCAGTTGGGCTGCCAATCTTCGTGTCGTACTCGGCTGGGCTGCCTGCCCTTAGGCTCCTGGGCTTTCTGGTCCAGAAGCATCCGTGGTCCAGAGAGTGCCAGATTTTGGAAGTTCCTGTAGCAACTGCTTGAACACTTTTACAGAATGTATAATAATATTACAAATACAATGAGACTATTAAAATATGAAAAGGAAGACAGTGATGGACAATAATATGGGATTGCTTTACTATAAGTCTCCAAGTTAGTTCAAATGTGCTCCATATCAATCACTGCAATTGACTGGTGATTAGTGACATATGGAAAAAGTTAGTGATCTAGCCCTAGTTGCTGCAAGGTGGTCAAATCACAAAACATACCACCAGGCTTGTACTAATTACCATTCTTGTTAACAAGCTCAGCTGAAAGGCCAAAGATGCAAGGGGGATTGAAACTGAGTTACCTTCTTTTGGCTTAGGACAAGCCTCCTTTGGAAGAGAAGGTAAGTTTTTGGGCAATGTGGAGAAGCTTATATTGCTGCTGCCTAAGTTTTACTTACTGCAAAACTAATTGCATCTAATTAATTTTGTGCTTTATCAGCTTCAAGTTTGTTAGTGCAAATTACATTTCACAGTAATGAGCCCAAGTTCTTATGAAGCAACATGGAAATCTGCAGTTTCCACTCATTATAGTAACAATACAGTTCGTACTATTTGCATAGTGGGTGAATAGTATAAATAGTACTGGGTATGTATTGTAAAAAGAGGTAGTTTATGGTATTTTGTGATTGAAAAGAGGATCCTTGCTGTTAATACTACTTTTCAGCAGCCATGAAAAGTATAGAAGGATGTTTTTTTTAAAAAAAAACAATTACAACTAATTATTTATTTTTATTATAACTTTAACAACATGGGTAACTTGAAATCTGTAAGCAAAGCCTAACATGAGGAAGCGACTAAAAGTTGTTCAAGCTACAACCTACTTCAATTGTTAGATCAAACTGGATAAAGCAGGCTGCTTTGATGGGTTTATGGTTTCCACAAATGTTTTTGTCAGTAACATCTTTTGAATTCCAACATTATCTTCTGTGGACAGGGAATTTCAAAATCAGCTGAAAGTTAGAAAAAAATGAAAGTAGTTATTTGCTGATTAATACAAATAATAGGAGAAAAGGAAAAACTGTTTTACCAAATTCTACTTTCACTTCCCCCGATGAAATCCCATTGGCTTCAGTAAGTTTATACCAGTATAACTGAGAATACAAATTGGCTTAGTGTATTAATTTATCTTACAATGGGTGAAATTTACCCCTTCTCAGAGGACCATCTTAAAATCTATGTTTCACTTAGTGCATGGTAGTAGAATATAAGCTTTGTGTTCGCTCTCTGTACAGATATGAATTTCATCTTGTAAATTTATTCCAGCTCTTTGACAACATTTTGATCATTATTAAATTCTGTCATTGTTATACATTAATCTTTTAAAGTGTATTGATATGTAAAGCATTTTCATTTGCATATAAACACTTTTGAAGATTTGGACCATGGAAGGTAGTATGCATCACAATGGATCAAAATTCACACCCAATACACATGTAACGTTACTGAAATTTCATTCTCCAGCCAAACATCAGCTCCAGAGGCTGATGCCCTATCCCTGAGAGTTCACTGGAGATCCCACCTCATCTCCAGTAGGTCCTTTATCCTGCTTTCCAAATGCAGGAGCTAGCTCCATCCCTGGTGCAGCCTGAATTGGCTGTCTGGCTGCTCCCAGGGTGGGTGGGACTCAAGCCCACCACCCTGTGCTCCCTGGGCTTCTTTCTCGGTCTTCACTTGCACACATTTTCCCTCACATAAGTGACATTCTCCTCTGTGCAGAGGGCCAGAATATGGTCTGCAGACTACTTTATGAAATCCCCCTTCTCTAAGGACTTAAGTCACTTCAGAAGTATACAGATCTCTTTCTGGCTCTCTGCACATAGGTGAATTTAACCCCCAAAGAAACACAGGAATTGCACAACTAGGTTGCAGTAGAAAGTCTTGCATCTGTAAAGAAAATGAGGGAAAGGAGGTTTGTTTGGTTTTTTTTTAGGTGGAAGAGCAATACAAGCATCCTACAGAGTTATGGAAATAGTTAATGTACTGTTTGAATGTACAGTCCCATCACATTTATTGGAAAGAGCATAGAACAGAATTGCAGCACCTACACTTATCATGATCATTTTTCTCCATTATACTATTTGAGATAGTAGCTCAATAGTTGATACTGGGCAATTTGATGGGTAGTGTATACATTACTTTCAATACTCTCCCACAAAACTTGGAGTGAAAATCAGTAGAAATTCAATTTCCAATGCTCATTTACTTTCTTCAGCATTTTCACAGGGTGCTTGCCTTCCCCTTGTTACTATCCTACAGCCCACTTGGAAGTCAACTAAGAGTTGTGCCATTGCGCCTTCAACATATGGAGGATCAAGACCTGACTTACTGGCACCAAGGTATTTTCTAGTAGGCAGGAGATTATGCTATTGTAAAAGCAACATATTTTAATGAGGGCTTAGTGTCAGAAAACATTGGTTCAGAATATGAGGGAGTGGAGGGCATGGGTCCTTGAAGGCTCTGTGGCTACGTCTGTTGTTTAGAGAGACATGAACAAACAAACCCCAAAACACTTTAAACAAATTTAGAATTTTTTCTCCAGAGGGAACATGTTTAAAGAAAAACAGTGTGTTATTTTCCTCCACAAAAGAGAGAGAGTTTGGCCCCCTCCCTCTGTCAACAAAGCATTTAAACAAGTATTTAAGCTTGTTTCTGTTCAGCAATGCTTCTAACTAAGCACGTGTAAGTGCTTTTGCTTCATTGTGTGGTTGCTCATCTAAGAGCAGACTTTAACCCATGTATTCTAAACCAGAATTTGATTGTGTTTTCTTCTGTGATGAAAGATGTGATAGGTTTTTTTTCTTGATTTACCCTCAACTAAAATAAACCATATTTTCCTTTTGATAAATATTAGAGTACAGTTTAATCACTAAGGCCCAGATCCCCCCAGGTGCAAGATAAGTTAGGGGCCCCCTCCCAGAATCTGTGCCACAGCCCCCAGTCTACCCCACTACTCTCCAGCATTTCCCACTTTCCTCATAGTTCAGCCCCATCATCTTTCACTTGTCCTCAACCCCCCCTCATCCTGGAACATCCCTGTTGTCCCAACCTTACCCCTACAACTCACACTGTCACCCACTACCCCAGGACATTTCTGGCTACTCGGGGTATGTCTACACTGTGGAATAAGGTTGAATTAAGATACGTAACTTCAGCTATGTAGCTGAAGATGAAGTACCTTAACTTGAATTTTGGCGCTGTCCTCACTGTGGGAAATCAAATGGAGCACACTCTCCCTTCGACTTCCCTTACTGCTCATGGAAGCAGGACTACTGGCATTGACCAGAGTGTCCCTCTCAGTTCAAATTAGCGTGTCTTCACTAGACTGGTTAATTCGAACCCTGGAAGATCAACAGTGGCAGCTTCAATCTTCTCTGTAGATTATACATACCCTCATTGGCATCCGTATGGCTCAGTGCTGTGTCCCTCTCTTGGGCTCCAGTGGTTCTGCTCACTCCTACAGCCCACCCAACACTCCCACAACACAGGCCAAATTTGATGATGAGTGGCATTGTGAGCAAACACAACGGCTACGTCTAGACTGGCCCCTTCTCCGGAAGAGGCATGCAAAGCAGGCAAGTCAGAATAGGGAAATCCGTGGGGGATTTAAATATCCCCCGCGGGATTTAAATAAACATGGCCGCCACTTTTTTTCCAGCTTGGGGAAAAGCCGGAAAAGAGCGTCTAGACTGGCGCGATCCTCCGGAATAAAGCCCTTTTCCGGAGGATCTCTTATTCCTACTTACAAGAATGTCCTACAAGTAGGAATAAGAGATCCTCCAGAAAAGGGCTTTATTCCGGAGGATCGCACCAGTCTAGATGCTCTTTTTCGGCTTTTCCCCAAGCTGGAAAAAAAGTGGCGGCCATGTTTATTTAAATCCCGCGGGGGATATTTAAATCCCCTGCGGATTTCCCTATTCTGACTTGCCTGCTTTGCATGCCTCTTCCGGAGAAGGGGCCAGTCTAGACGTAGCCAAGAGTTGCAGTGCTGCTCTGGTTTGCTTCAGCTGCCCCTTTCATCATGAAGAATATGTGACTAAGTCAGATCCAAGTGGTGCAACGATTCAGTGTATCAAGTTGCAAAGTCACTCACTCCAAATATGGCTTAAAGCAGCAACTGGGCCAAACCTGAACAGCACTTAAACCCTGCATGCCCTGTTATAATGGCACTCACATTTTACCTGATTGCCTCTCTGCCTGTCAGGACTAAATTTGAGTGAGTGGTTTTGAGGCTCTCTGTACCAAATGAAGTGCCTGAGCACTATGCTGTCTGTTCAAGTACAATGTTGGATTATAACCATAATCACGTTTTCTGTTCTGTAAAGTGGAAGAGACCTTCCCTGAGAACACAGCCTGTGAGTGGCTGGTCTTCGTATTGGGTGGGAGGGGAGTCAAAGGAAGGGAATCATATGAAACAGCGGCAGAACTGCTTCACAGCAGTTAATGTAGCTTTTAGTCTGTAATAGCTCCTTTATCTCTTTCGTCTCAGTGTTTGGGGAAATAAAGGCTTATTGATCCATGGCCCCCCTACAATCTCCACCCTGCTCTCACGTTACTAGGACTCAACGCACAGCATTAGAAACATGTGCGGAGCTGGGCTTGTACAGGTTCTTTAAATCTAGCCACCTATCTACACTGTTCAGTGGACCATGCCAATTCTGTTGTCTCTGGGGTCCTCAGCAAACATCCCACAGCACACACAGTTATTTTTCACATTATTCACAAGTTCTGTGTCATGATGTACACTTCATTTTAAAAAGAAATACCTTCTTTCTTCTGCATCCAGAAGACAGTGATATGCAGCAATATCCTTCTCCAGCTGTATTTTGTTGGACAGCAGAGTTTCACGATCCCTTTGCTGCTGCTCAGTTTCTGCTCTGATTTCTCGCACCTCTGCCTCTAGCTTGGTAATAACAGAGCCTAGGTTCTGAAGTTCAATGTCATGCCAGTGCTTAGCGTCGTATAAGGAGTTCTCCAGACCCCTTTTCTATATAAAACATTAATTGTAATAGAAGAGAGTCATGATTTCTGATAATCTCTGTAGTACTGTTTCAGCTCAGCCTTGATGAATGGCATGTGTGGATAATTCAAAGGATCAGGGTAGTTTCAAATCGAATCTGCTGAAATGGAGACTCCAATATACTAGACATTCTCATCATTAGATACTTATATTGTAATTATGCTTTATTGTAAAGTGGACTGCTGAACTGCTTTCTCTGAGCTTGTCTCAGAGGTTTTTAAACTGGGGTGGGGGGGGGGGGACATGCCCTTTCCCCAGAGGAGCATGGAGGAACTTTGCAAGAGGGTGAGTGGTGATGTTAGGTGGCTTGTGCCAGCCCACCCAGCAGGGCATGAGACAGGTCCCATGGGAGGTGGGGTAGGAAGGGACCATCACCTCCACCCCAATTCACTTCTTTGGGCCACCCAACCTTTGGATCAGGTTCACAAGCTGCTACAGCTGTGCAGATTTCTGCTCCCAGCAGCCTCCATGCCCACTGCTGGACCCACCCATAGAGACCTTCTCAGGCACCTTTTCACCCTGAAAAACCAAGAGGGGAGGGGCAGGTGTTGGCCCTGCCCTTGTGGCACAGCCTGGCTGCAAGGTAGAAGCAGCCCGCTGGTGAGAAAACCTTGACTATGTCATTGGTAAGAATCTGTGTATTTGAAACATACAGGTGTAGGTATTCACTTACACTTGTGCAAAGGTCTCTGTTAGGTTTATTACTGGGCTAGCCAGCTTACTTTTTCATGTATCTATTTTTGTTTGAGTTTCAGGAATGCAACAAAAAATATTAACTCCAAGGGAGGGTTCAACTGAAAAAGTCTGCAAACTGCTTGGCTATCTGGTTACAAGGCACTAAAATTTGCATAATTTATTTTGTGCTCTATAACACTATGTACCCAATAATCTCAATGAGGTTTACAAATGTTAAGGAATTCCAGAGTTGAAGGAAAAAAATTCAGAGCTTAATTTTCATAAGTGCTGAACACCAACATCACCGGTTCCTGGGAGTATAAAGAACTTATTCTCACCAGACACATCAAGATGAGAATATGTCCTAGAAAGTGAGTATGAGCCAGTTCTCAACTGATAACTACTTACCAATGTTCTTAAAGATTCAGTCTCTGCTTGAAGACTCTGTATTTTGCAGGCTGTTTCATGAAACTCTGCTCTTAGAGATTCTACCAGTTCTTCCTCTTGGGTTTGTACAGCAGGTGTTGTTTCTGTGGCTTGCTGAAAACAGGTAATATTTGTCCATCATAACATGTTTTATTGATGATAAAAATTTACATTCCTGCCATTACAGAATGTAAGTTCTTTTGCAATTTGTGCCTACTCTGGTTTTATATTTTAACATTTTGGGTTACTTTTAAGAGCAAACCACCACATTTTCTATATACGTATTGACAAACATAACACATTTTACGTGTGTTTGAGGATATATACATAGTTTATGTAGAGTACTTTGGATTTACACTGAATGCTCAGCCTCGTCCTGTCCCACTTTGTGACCTATTTGCGGACCACATAATCTTTTATAATGAAGGTAATATAACATTCAAATAGATCTGGAATCTCATATGCTAACATTGGGAAATGCATAGATACAGACACACCAATAGCAGAGTATAGGCAGCTCTATAGCTCAATCTGTTACAGGCTTTGACTTCAATATCTCCCTTGTAAAGAAATTTAAAAACCTATTTCAGTCCATATGAGTGAAATTCTTCCATGTGCAAAAGGTCGGCAAAGACATGCACCATTAAAATCCCAAGTAAACCCTCAAAATAGGGCAGAAGTAATGCATTGTGCTGCATTATAAAGAGGTGAATTCTGTTTTAAGAACTAGATTGTGCTCATTAGACATAGTTCTGAATAGCAGATGGTGCAGAGCCATATTGCCCAGAGGCATTATAGGGAGGGATTGTACCTCTTGGCAGTACAATCTTCCTGATGAACTCCTGATGTCTATGGTCCTGTCTGCTGTGAAATAATTTGCACTTCCAGGGATGCACAGAGTCATCCCTATGCTCTACAGGGATTGCAAATCTCCTTATCCCTTGTATGAGGTGCATACAGGAGGGATATATTCTTGTGTCCTCCCCAGTAGGCATCAGCACAAGAGCCATTCGTAATCTGGTACTAAACCTGATCTCATTATTTCTGTGTCCTCCTGCTTTTATTCTTTTTGCACTTGTGCAGTTGTACGAAGGGGGGAGTGTACACCAAATTCCTTGTGTCTGGAAGCATTTGGGTGAGTGGCAGGATTCAGCAGGTTCTCTTTCTCAGTGCATGCTGCTATATTTTTGAAGTTCCTAGAGAATGTTCTGATTCTTAGAACAGTCTGTGTTATTCCTCTGCATTGTGCACTGTTCAGGAGTCTGTAAGCTGAGCTTAATTTGTTTTTCATAGAATTAAAATAAATGATTAAAATAGAACAATGAAACATCTGGAAGACAATGATAGATATAGGGATCTAATCAGCATGATCTCTGCAAAGGGAAATCGTGTCTCACTAATCTCTTAGAATTCTTTGAGCATGTCTGTCAATAAAGTAGTGGAGAAAGGAGACCCAGTTGTCATGAAAGTCTAAATAAATCAGTAAGTCTTTTACAAGGAATGTCTTATGGGAGGCTATTAAAGAAACTAATTAATCATGAGGTGACAAGCAAACTAGATAGCATTAAATGGCCAGTTATCATGACAAAAGTTTAACAGTGAGGTACCTCCAGGTTCTGCACAAGATCCCATATTACTAATGATTGTGGGAGGTGTATGAAGAGGGAGTTGGCCAGTTTGGCAGATGACACAAAGTTATTTAGTTGAATCCAGAGATGGCTGTGAGGAACTTCAGGGAGACCTCACCAAGCTAGGTGAATGCACAACACAGTGGTAAATGGAGTTCAGTGTTGATAAATGGCAAAGTAGTGTATTTGGTGGGAAACTTTTAAAAAGCTTATATACCATTTTAGGATATAAATTAACTGTATCAGTTCAGAAAAGGGATTTGAGCATTGTTGTGGACAAGTCAACGAAGACTGCAGCTGCACATTAAAAGTCTGGCCCAAAGATATTTAGATGCCTATGGCATGTTTAAAAATCCCACTACATGCTGATTGCTGTTATAGCCCCTACTTCTAAGTTTCTGTTTTTAAATAGGAAATAGTGAAGATCAACTCCAAGTGAGGATGAGGAATAAGTGGTACTTCTGAAGTAGGGAGATGAGGACTGAAGAAACGGATTCCTTGTAAGCAGTTATTGCTCTCTTAAAAATATGTAATGGGCCACATTCTCAAGTAAGGTGTAATATTGTTTACTTCAGTAGGCATCTGAGGATCTGGCCTATATAAGTAGAGCCCTGCATGAATACAGAATTTCTATCCATATACATATCTGCAAAAATGAGCCACGAATATCCATATCCATGGATGCGGGTACCCACAACTATAAAGTGGATATTGACAATTATAAAGTGGATATCTGCAAACTTGCAAAGTTCTAGATATTGGTTATCCATGGTGGGCAGGAGGCACTGATAGGAATGCTGCTGGTGGGAACACTCTTTTTGTAGCCACTCTCCCTCATAAGCCTTATGGGAACTGTGTCTTTTCTAAGTGCTTCTGCAGCACAACCAGAATAGTGATTTTGCTGTGCTCTGGCTTAGTAGTCAATGGAGATTGAGATGGCTGTTAAAGCATAGGATTATGTACTGAGCTTGCTACTGCAATGCTGCAAAAATATATTTCTAAAGTAGCTGATTCCCCAAACTCCATCCCCCCCCCCCCCCAAAATAATGATTCATCTTAGCAGAGGAAAAGCTGCATTAGAATGTCATTTCAAAAAGTAGGAGGAGGAGGAATGAGAACTTTTAATGGTAATATTTTTACTATAGAACTGCAGAATCATAAAAATGTAGGAGTAGAAGGGATCTAAATCGATTATCTATTCCAGTGTGCTGAACTGAGGCAGTGCTTTTTATTTCCAAGTTACTGTTCAGTCTCCCTACCTCTACTGAAATAAACAGCTTTAAAGAGAGATCGAGGAGGTGCTTGTGTCTATATACGAGTAGAGAGAAAAAAATGATGCCTCCTGGAAGTATTTTGGTTGCATTGTACACAAGATGGCTGTGTACAGAGACATGGTAGATGAAGTGGAAGGGTGAAGGGGCAGCAAAATAGACAATTTGAAGCAGGGATGAAGGTAAAGCCAAATATAGGGGACAAGTTTCTTCTCCATACCTATATATGGCTCTTCTGTTTCATGAAATCATGTTGCACAGTTATGGTAATCTCTAGTTGATAGCAGTAAAATACTTTTGTTTGCTAGGATGTTGGGTGCTAGTTAGCATTCCCTGTGAGCTGTGTGCTTGTGCGGCCACTCAGGAGAGATTCAACAGCCTACCTTGGCATGAAGCAAGACACCTGACTCAACATGATTTTTCTCAATATCCTTCTCCCAGTGAATTCTGATTTTTTCCAGTATGTCATCCAGGCCAGTTCCAATAGGAGCTTCCAGTTCTTCGACCTGAGATCCAGCAAGCTGATTGTATGACCTCTTCACATCCTGGAAAAAAATATGAGAAAGGGTCACTTAGCGGTCAGTTCCACTTTTGAGGATACTAAGGAGCACTTACAGAGACAACTGGCTTGTATCAAGTGATGCAAACACATTCACAGATCTGATTCTCCATGACCTTGCACCTTTTGTGGTCATGTACATGTTCGCAAAGTGAATACAATGAAAGGCTGCATCTAGATTGACATGATTTTCTGGAAATGCTTTTAACGGAAAAGTTTTCCGTTAAAAGCATTTTCGGAACAGAGCGTCTAGATTGGCCTGGACGCTTTTCCACAAAAGTACTTTTTGCAGAAAAGCGTTCATACCAATCAAGACGCGCTTTTCCGCAAAAAAGCCCCGATCGCCATTTTCGCAATTGGGGCTTTTTTGCGGAAAACAAATCTGAGCTGTCTACACTGGCCCTTTTGCGCAAAAGTTTTGCGCAAAAGGGACTTTTGCCTGAACAGGAGCAGCATAGTATTTCCACAAGAAGCACTGATTTCTTACAGTAGGAAGTCAGTGCTTTTGCGGAAATTCAAGTGGCCAGTGTAGACAGCTGGCAAGTTTTTCCGGAAAAACTGGCCAGTCTAGACACAGCCTGAGTGTAAAACACTGTCATTCTATTTTTGGCAGTGTTGAACATTTTCATTGCACAGGAGTAAAGGACTGTATAAAGTACAAGTCAGTGGAGAAATCATTGATTAAATTTGTGACTCAACTTCTTGGGGAAAGAATTGTATGTCTCCTGCTCTGTTTTACTCACATTCTGCTGAATACTTCATGTTACAGGAGTCTCTGATGATTATCCACATTTAAGAACATTTTCACTGCAGAGTTGACAAAATACAAAGAAGGTACCTGTCAGGACTGTTCCCCACTCTGGCATTCTGAGTGCAGAAGGTGGGGGCCCACAAGAGACCTTAAATACCTTGCCTCTATAGGCTCTGCTTACAAAAACTTCCCAGTTACAGATTTACTGACTTTGGTGGGGGGAGTAGCTGTCACCACCAAGTGAAACAATCCCCTTTCTTCTTGAACTCAGGAAAAAAGCACTTGGACTTCCTTCCCCAGGGGTACCTTAAGCTCCTCTGCCACAAGAGAGCTTGAAAAAAAGAAACATAAGAAAACAAACTGTGTCTTTGATAGCTGACTTCTCAGGCCAGACAGACACGCACACAGACAGACCTCCTGTTTCTTTCCAGTCCACAAGAATCAAATCATTGCCTTAAAAAGGTGATTTTTATTAACAAAACAAAGAGATAGACTTGATAAAGCATACGTGGTTGCTAGGGGATACAGAGCAACTGAGTAAAACAAAACACCAGACAGACACGCACACAGACAGACCTCCTGTTTCTTTCCAGTCCACAAGAATCAAATCATTGCCTTAAAAAGGTGATTTTTATTAACAAAACAAAGAGATAGACTTGATAAAGCATACGTGGTTGCTAGGGGATACAGAGCAACTGAGTAAAACAAAACACAGATAACATCTCTGGGTACACTCTTAGGGTATGTCTACACTACCCTGCTAGTTCGAACTAGCGGGGTAATGTAGGCATACCGCACTTGCAAATGAAGCCCGGGATTTGAATTTCCCGGGCTTCATTGGTATAAACTGGGCGCCGCCATTTTTAAATCCCGGCTAGTTCGAACCCCATGCCGCGCGGCTACATGTGGCACGGAGTAGCTAGTTCAGATTAGGCTTCCTAATCCGAACTAGCTGTACTCCTCATTCCACGAGGATTACAGCTAGTTCGGATTAGAAGCCTAATCCGAACTAGCTACTCCATGCTGCGTGTAGCTGCGCGGCACGGGCTTCGAACTAGCCGGGATTTAAAAATGGCGGCGCCATACCCTCAGATAGTGAATGCGGGGGTGGGGGAAGCATTGATTCACACAGAAGTTTAACCAAACAACCAGAACAAAGAAAAATGATTTGATTCCAATTAAATACACATTTTCCCTTTATTTACTCTTAGTCCCTTCCTGGTTCAGTCCACTTCCATGCCCCAAATTTCTTGCAGGTATGTGATTTGATTCCAATTAAATACACATTTTCCCTTTATTTACTCTTAGTCCCTTCCTGGTTCAGTCCACTTCCATGCCCCAAATTTCTTGCAGGTATGGTAGTCCTGTCTGGGTTTAAATCATGCTGTTTCCAACAACTCCTGGCTTAACTCACTCCCACAAAGAAATCAGGCAAGATATCTAATACAATTCAGATTTCAGCACTGTATCCCATTGGTTCATCTGGCCCCCTGCCAACACCCTTGCTAGCTATCTGAGTTTAACCCTTTAGTCATCAATGCTATGGCTACACTATGACTTTAGCTCTTGTGGCAATGCAAATAAAGCGTGAATTAGCATTTTCCCACGCTTCATTTGCATACTCTCTTTCGGTCTGTTTTTGTGCTAGGGGTTTTTGTGCAAAAACAGGCAGTGTGGCCATGGCTGTTTTATGCAAAAAACCCTTTTTCCATAAGATCCTTATGCTTCTCTGAAACAGGCATAAGGATCTTGTGGAAAAAGGGGTTTTTGCACAAAACGGCCACAACCACACTGCCTGTTTATGCGCAAACACCCCTAGCACAAAAACGGACCAAAAGAGTATGCAAATGAAGCATGGGAAAATGCTAATCTGTGCTTCATTTGCTTTGGCTCTTGCAGCAAATCTTGTAGTGTAGACAAAGCCCAAGTGCCGGCCAGCAGTCCTATCCATCACAGTACCAATGTGGTATTTCTAAAGATAGCTACAGCATGTGACCTGAAAATTAGAGATCTGAAGTGCCTTCCAAAATCTGAGAGGGAAGAAGTGTGGAGCATGTTTTCCAAAGTCTTTAAAAGAGCAACACTGCAATGTGGAAACTACAGAACCCAAGCCACCAAAAACAAAAAACCAAAAAAACCAGCCTTCTGCTGGTGGCATCTGACTTAGATGATGAAAATGAACACCTGTTGGCCTGTGTTGCTGTGAATCATTATCAAGCCGAACTCCTCATCAGCATGTCCTCTGGAATGATGGTTGAAGCATGAAGGGACACATGAATCTTTACTATATCTGTCAAATATCTTGCGTATGGTTACAACAGTGCCATGTGAATGCCTGTTCTTGCTTTTAGGTGATAATGTAAACAAGAAGCAACATTAACTCCTTCTCAAACTGTAACCAAACTTGTTTCTCTGAGTGATTGGCTGAACAAGAAGTAGGACAGAGTAGGCTTATAAATCTCCAAAGTTTTGTATTTGTTTTATTCCTGAGTGCAGTTATTTTTGTACATAAGTCTATATTTGTAAGTTCAACTTTCATGATAGAGACTACACTGTAGTGTTTGTATTAGGTGAATTGAAAAATACTAGTATTTGCAATGTAAATTGCAAATAAAAAAATAAAATGAGTGCTATATATTTGAAAATGTAGAAAACATCCACAAATAAATGGTATTCTATTCTTGTTTACCAGCATCATTAATTGTGTTGAATTTTTTTCAGTCACTTCACAGACTTGAAATACATATACTGTGTCTCAGCTCAGGGGATCTGCATGCCTCTTATATGTGAGGTTGGGATATGAAAGGAATGAAACTTATTTGTTCATCAGTGCTTCAGGAAACAACTGTTTTAGATGCCTGGTAACAGGCTCATTGTTTATCATTTATTTTCTGCAGGCCAACTCCTTGTGCACATTTACAAAATACTTGAGCAAATATTTCTGAGCCCTGCCACTTAGTCTCATAGGCTTATGGGCACAAAACCAATGAGGTTTGCACATGTAGGGCTGAATTGTAGTTCCTTTTACACCATTCCATTTCCATATATTGCTAGAACAGTGTAGAGCCACTACTCCCTTCCTTGCCATATGTGTGGTAGGAAGGAGGAGGCAAACAGGGACAGTGTAGGTGGAGCCTTAACTTGGCACAGCTGTGCCAGTGTGGATGAAAATCCGGTATAGGGCTGGTTCAGTTTATTTGCCCAGAGGAACAAGGAGAAAGCAGGTACTGAATTCTGACTCTCTTGAGTCACAGTTATTCTCGTAGTAACTGCAATTTGTCTTCTGTCACTGAGGATGTTTGATTGGAGTTAGATGCTGAAGCCTTTACTCGTATGACTAATCCTTGTTAATGCAATTCCTGCTTAAGTCAATGAATGTGAGTAAGGATTGCAATATTGGGCCCTTACGTAGTCTATTTTCTTGTGTCATTTTGACTTGCTTCAATGATTTGTTCCTCAGTACAGAGGGATAAATTGAGTCTTGGGAATGGAGAGGCTTGTTAAGTACAGCACATTTAATATAAAGTAATTTGCGTTATTTTGGAAGTTTGATAGTTTAAAGATTCCATGGGATCAGTTTATCCTCTCAGTCGAATTACATTATTTTATTTTTTTTATACTGCTTGTGGATGAAAGGTGAATCAGGCCTCAGAACGTTGAGGACTTACACTCATTGAAGGTCCAGCCTCATAAATCATCGTGTGTGGGGGTTGTGTTGTTTTCACTCCATTTGACACTGAACTATTTATATTTATCAGATGTCAAAAATGTGGAAAGTGTGTGTGGATAACTTTTTTTTTTTAATTAAGACTAAAAAGATGTGGGGGTCTACATGCTAAAAAGAAGAGACAGAAAAAGAAATAGGAACAATTTGCAGATAGATGCTGCCATTTATTTCTGAGAGTTTCAGACTGACCTGATTTAGACACACATTATCTATGCATTGCACCCAGCCTTTACTTACTTCTTCATGATTCTTTGACAGCAGACCTAATTCTTCTTTCATGCTTTCTATTTGATGCTCCAGATCCATTTTAGTTAAATTTGCATCATCAATCACTTTATATAAGGAATTGATTTCATCTTCCACTGCCTTTCTGAATGGCTGCTCATTTTCATATCTGCAGAGAGAAACATAAGCATATGTGGGCAAACTTGCATTTTGTAAATGATACTGTGGTAACCCTGGCCCTAGCATCAGCACCTGCTTTAGTTTTAAGTTACTGAGGTACTAATGGGGCCTGCAGCTGTGATGCAGCAGTATGGAATGCTGCCCTGAGCAGGGAATAGCCAGTTTGAAAGTAGCTTGAGCCTGGGGAGGGGATTAGACGACTGAAGGAAAGACAGTTGGAAAATAACTGTTAGAAGGGAGGAAGGAGAAGAATTGTGGTGCTGAGTTTGCAGCTAAATCAGAGCTGAGGTAGGCAAGGAGATGATTAAAAAACAGGAGAATAAAACTAGGGGGAAAGTGAGAAGGAAAGAAAAAGAAAATAGAAAATGTTTCAGGCCAGGAGAAACATAAAAAATAGAACTGGGTAAGTTAGCAGATATTATTAGAAAAGGGAAGTAGAGGGAAATAAAATCTACAGATGTACTGGATTGAGAGTTTCACCAAATATATTTCCTTTCAGTTCTTTTCTCTTGAAAAAGGGAATTGATCAGAAAGTTGTTACATGAAAATAGATTCTGAAAAAAGTAAATGAGAAGCTCAATCACAAAGGACAAAAAGCAAATTAACAGAGTGAACATCTATTGAAGGAATGCAATTCAAAGGCATCTCATGGCCAAGTGAGAGTCACTAAGTGAAGAAACTCTGCTTGTGGGTAATCTTGGTGAACAAAATTACAGCCACAGGAACATCAAATCTAAAGGAACATCCCAAGCTGAGGTGAAGCAAAGGATAACTAAATGGAGTTGGAATTACAACCAAGAAGAGGAAAAATTGATTCCATTCTGAAGAAACCCAGTATATCGTTGAGTAATTTCTTTTGTTCTTGTTAACAAGGATGCATTTGGTATTTACTACACAAATTAAGGAAGAGTTGCGTGTATAAGTTTGCAAGTTAATACATTAATACCTTTTGTAGTGTTGTTATTTTAAGTAATAAGTACTTGGTGATATTCTATATTATTTATATTCCTGCTATAACTTTTGGGTTTTCCTTTATAAAAATCTAAACATTTTAAATTAGTATATTGTGTTGGTTTGCCTCTGCCTCACTTCACAGTTAGTCTAGCCTAGCCTAGCCCACTGCAAATTGGTGTCACAAATAGGATATGAAGAGTCCAGTGCAAGAGGGTAGCCATCTTCAAATAATGTAAGTCTGTTAGGGGATAACTCCAGAGAAAATAGATGGGTGGTGGGAGCCCAATAGCTATTTGCTTCAGCACCACTAACCATCCCATATTTCTCTGTAATGTCTTGGCTGTCTACATTTTCTAGAGACAGTCATGAGAGTAATGCGGTTGCATTTAGAGAATTTAAAACAATGGTACAGTCAGTGTTTACGTTGCAGTGAGAAAACTGATTCTGCCTGAGCAATTGGGGGGTACTGCTAAAAGAGACATGAGTACACGGCTGGAAAATGAAAAAGGGACTGAAGGACAACTGAGGTTCAACAAAGACAAGTGTAGAGTCCTGCACTTGGGACGGAAGACTCCCAAGCATTGTTACATGCTGGGGACCAACCAGATAAGTAGTAGTTTTGCAGAAAAGGGCCTGGAGGTTACAGTGGATGAGAAGCTGGATATGAGTCAACTGTGTGCCCTTGTAGCCAAGAAGGCTAATGGCATATTAAGTTGCATTAAGAGGAGCATTGCCAACAGATCCAGAGATGTCACTATTCCCCTTTATTCGGCTCTGGTGAGGCCACATCTGGAGTATTGAGTCCAGTTCTGGGCCCTCCACTACAAAAAGGATGTGGATGCATTGGAGAGGGTCTAGCAGAGGGCAACCAAAATGATTAGGGGGCTGGAGCGTATGACCTATGATGAGTGGCTGAGGGAGTTGAGTCTGTTTAGTATGTAGAAACGAAGAGTGAGGGGGGATTTGATAGCAGCCTTCAACTTCCTGAAGGGAGCTTCCAGAGAGGGTGGAGAAAGGCTGTTCTCATTGGTGACAGATGGCAGAACAAGAAGCAATGGTCTCAAGTTGCGGTGGGAGAGGTCCAGGTTGGATATTAGGAAAAACTATTTCACTAGGAGGGTGGTGAAACACTGGAATGGGTTACCTAGGGATGTAGTGGAGCCTCCATCCCTAGTGGTGTTTAAGTCTCAGCTTGATAAAGCCCTGGCTGGGTTGATTTAGTTGGGATTGGTCCTGCCTAGAGCAGGGGACTGGGCTTGCTGACCTTCTGAGGTCTTTTCCAACTCTGATTCTATGACAAATAGAAGATTGGACTGTACGTTTGACACTTGTACCTTGGCAGTGTCAGAACGGAAACAGAGGCACTTCCCCAGTGTACAATTGCGACAAGGTCTCAAGGAGTCTACATTAGGATTATAGGAAGTTTGAAAAGCAATAGAAAAGTTACAACTAGGGATGTGAATGTAGAACTGAAACAATTATTCGATGAGCATGGGCTTACTGGTTAATGTTCACGGTTACACACAGGCTCCCGCCTGCTCCTGGGGAGCCGGCTGCCTCCCAATTTTGCTATCTCTGTATCGGAGGCCAGTTCCCTGGGACTGAGGCTGAAGATGGGAGCTGTTATGTGCCTGGAACTGGCATTTTAACATCCTTTGTTAGAAGCTCAAATACTGATGATTATGCTGAAAGATAAATTCATTGAGGGGTTATATGATGGTATGTTATATATGGAGATCATTAAGACAGAATCTGGAAACTTCTGTTCTAGATTTTGAAAGGCTATAAAATTTGAGAAGAAAAAGGATCAGTCAGGGAAATTATGCTATATCCATAGCATGGATATATACATGCTGTTGCCATACATTCTGAAATGCAAATCCAATATGTGCTGCACACTGGACAAAAGTTGAAGGATAGTAATTCTGGGACGGAAGATACTCTTTGGACAAAATTTAAAGGAGATAGTGATATAGAGAGAAATTCAAGATATGAGACTGGATTTGAAATAGGGATATTAAGTTGTGATCAATTAGCTAATCAAGTAGTCGATGGCATATCTTTGTTCCTGAGGAATCCTGGACCCATACAGGTTTTCTGTAGGCAGCAACTCAGGGTAGTGGAATAGATCAATATGTATGGATGAAAGAAAGAGATTTTAGAATGCCTTCAGGATGTGCAAAACTGATAACCTTTTCTAGTTTCTGATTTAATTGTACCAATTTTTCTAACTGTTAACTTCTGTTGGATTTTGGGTGTGCTATCAGATACATCACATGATAGCCACAGAGAAACATCCTCCAATTAGGCAGAGATTTTGACCAAGTGCTGTAACTTTGTATCGGCCAGTGAAAGAAATGACGATAAAGATGTTGGACATTAATGTAATAAAAGAGTCGTAGTCCATGAGGTGAGTCAGTTATGATAGTTCACAAAAGAGATAGAAGTCTGTGCTTTTGTAAAGGTTCATTGAGAGTTGAGCCAAGTCATCTCTAAGGATGCCTATTCTTTATCTAAAAATTGAAGATTACTTATCAGCATTAAAGTCACCAAGTTTTTTCTCTACAATTGATTTAACTAGTGGCCATGGTAGGAGTGTAAAATGTCAATTATTTGGCTAATCGAATAGTTGATGCAATTTGCATCGACTATTTGATTAGTCGATAAGCTTGCTTCTGCCTTAAGGCTGTTGCTACACTTCAAAGGTGTAAGCTCTACGGGGCCAGCGGGGGACTCAAGCAGTTCCCTGCTGGCCCCATGCTCCTTGTGGTGTTTCAAAGCAGTAGTGCTGCATGGAGCCTGGGGTCGGTGGGGGAGTCCCCAGCTGACCCCAGGCTCCATGTGGCACTGCCATTTTGAAGTGCTGTGTGCAGCCCGGGCCAATTGGGGATTCCTAGCTGGCCTGGGCAGTATGCAACATTTCAAAACAGCAATGCCACGTGGAGCCCAGGGTCTGTCCCCAGGTGCTAAGTAGTGCTGCCGCTTTGAAGCACCCCATCTTCTCCTTCCCCTCCCCCTGCTGCCTCTTTCTGATAGTTGCAGCAAGGGTGCGGAAGCAACTCGCAGAGGCGTAGTGAGAGTATTATGCACCCAGGAGCGAAGGCAAAATTGGCACTCCCCCACTGCCAAATGGTGGAGCCCCAAATCTGGTGCACAGTTGAGCCCAACCCTGAGAGTCGTGGGGGGAGCTTGTACCGCGTCTTACCCGACCCCCTCCAGTTTGGGGCTGGGTCCCGCATGTACTAACCCTCTGCCAGAGGTGGAGGGGGTTGGGCTGGAGGCAGAGAGGCGGGGAGGAGGTAGCTTCAGCTGGTGGTGGTAGGCAGAGGAGGAGTAGGCAAGCAGAGGGATGACAGGGGTAGTGTAGGGGGACTATGCTGTCACCTCACTAGTGTGGCATGCAGGAGCCACTCCCTTCCTCCTCCCCCACCCCGCACCCTCCTCACTATGCCACAGTAAATAATCCACCTCTTAAGATATTTATTGTTTAATGAATTACTTATTTTACTAACTACAGACATATAAATTATAACGTTTTATGGTTTACATTCTGTTACATAATTTTTCTCTTTAATTTGTTCATATCCCATTCTCATTAGGTTCATGTCTTTTACATAAAGTCAAATTCTTAAATATATAAGTTTTATAAAGCACAAGAGAAATTAATGTTATACAACCTAAATATGAATTTCATCACTATATTTCATTCAAGCATTTAAAACCACTGTTATAGCAAATGAGTAACACATTGCTTTAATGAATAAAAAGTAAAAAAGATTTTGAGCATATCAAATTTATTGTAATAGAGAGATAGCTGTGTTAGTCTGATCTTGGTAAAACAAAAAGGAAAAAAGTTATGTAGCACTTTAATGACTAACAATATACCTAATAAATTTATCGTAAGCAATCTGTAATGCTTCCTAACTGCCCATTTACTTACCTAGTTAACCTAATTGTTTTTCACATTATCGCACAATGAAAAACTACATGAGTTATGAATGTAAGAGATTAACTTACCTGTTAAAATAACACTCC